ATCGGCCAGTTGTCTGCCGTAAAGTATTATAATTTTTTAACTCTCAAAAGGGGCCGTACTGCTGGACGCAGAAAGGACGCCGTCCAGTGTAAAGGGGGCTTTATTGCATTTATGAGACTGAGCTAGCACTGTTCACTTGTCTCAGTCATAGTGCGGTCCCATGTATGTGACAATAGGTGTCCCCAACGCAAAGATGTAAACATTCAGAATTATATTATATTATATTATATTATATTATATTATATTATATTATATTATATTATATTATATTATATTATATTATATTATATTATATTATATTATATTATATCAATGTGTTGTAAACCTTCATACCATAGACTGGGTTCCCATACCTAGATCGATCTAACAAGATCGACCTATCTCCAAGGGGTTTCTCGCTAAATTGCTTTCAGTTTAAGCGGCTTAGATGTCTGGTACGCCTACTGAAGCTGCTAAACGATAATTAATTACCCCCTAGCAGCTTCAGTGGGCGTGACAGACAATAAGATTATTGCAATTTAGCGAGAATCCCCTTGGAGATAGATCGATCTACAGTTAGTACGACAGGGCCTGCGAATGGCCCCACACAGTCCCTCTTTTCTCACTAAAATTATATGGTTAAACTCACATTGTCACAACCGGTTGACCACTGGGTCCGATTGTATTGTAGGTTGTAGAGGCGGCCCCCCCGGCACAGAAAATTGGAGCAGAAACCCAGACGGCACCAAATGTTTCAAATATTTCCGCCACGGAGGTCGGGAGGGACTGGACTTTTCCCAGGCGGGGGCGTTCTGTTCACAAAAGGCGGACACGGCAAGTTTAGCCATCATAGAAAGCCCCGAAGAGCAGAAGCTTGCACAGACCCTGATCCCACCAAGGTAGTAGAGAGTATACTACTTGAAACTTAGGCAAATTATGAATCTCTCTCTCTCTCTCTCTCTCTCTCTCTCTCTCTCTCTCTGAAATAGAAAAGTATGATTTTTCATGGCGTATATATTTTATATAAATACGAAAAATTCAAAATTCCATAGGTAAAATCCATTAGAAGCCTTTGAGCCTTTCTCATTCTTGTACTTCAGAACCTGATTTTTACCTTTCTGTTCGCTTCTGGCTTGAAAAGTTTCCGTATGTACCAGAAACAAGCAAAATCCAATATGCACAGTATTAGTTCCAAAAATATATACAAAATATTTTCATATTAATAGTTATAGTAATTTCTTAAAGTTATTAATAAACCAGACAATATACACATACATTACAGTGTCTGTGGAATTCACAATTTTTCCAGTTGAAATGATCGAGCCAGTACCATATTACAAATTAAAGGTTAATGCTTTCTTGATAAAAAAGTACAACAAAATCGATGGGCATCAACACATTTTGCAGAGAACGTGTGGAAATCACGTGGATCGGACTCACGAGGGACGGTCAGGAGGGCTGGGGGTGGATTGACGGCACGGACATAGGGTACAGGAACTGGAACGGGCAGGGGGGCGGTCTGCCACCCATCAAACCAGGCCGCAACTGTGCCTCCATTCTGACTAAAAAGGGCGTGACGCGATGGCGAAATCAGAGGTGTGGTGCAAAGGGCAATGCCTTATGTGAAGTCAAGGTATTATTTTCAGTATAATCTTTTATTCTACGTGTAGTAGTTTTAAAGTTCAAGAAGCTGGCTTTTAACTTAGGAGGCATTCAGAATGGATGATCCGAGTACTGACTGATCTGCCGACTAAATATGGCTGGACCACACTTCAAAAGCGATGCCGTCTATTCCCGATGGTTTCCTCGCCTCCTTACGCGTCATTGAACGGATTAATTCTCGGCTCCGAGGTTAAATAGCTAGGCCCCTGCAGCGCCAGCGCGTGTGCAGGCGGGGAGACCATCATGGAATTAGCAGCATCGCTGGGACTGCCATATTAGTCGGTGGATCAGTTAGTACTCGGATCATCTATTGTGAATGACCCTTAGCCTCATTCAATAATAAAGCGTTTGATTATTATAACAATGTTATAATCATTTTATGTACAACTTCAAACAATTGGATTGTAATCTTGAATAATTAAATATTATTATCGGAACACTGATATTCAAAGCCTCTATTGAGCGTTCTACAATGGGTGGCAGAAAAACGCCTAGATAGCTGGAAAAAAACATGTACACACTTCCAGTATATATTAATGGCGTTCTTCCAGTATGATGTAGATGAAT